ATGCGGATCTCTATAAGGGTTCCTGGGAATCCCAATGCGGATCCCTATGCGGATTCCGATGGATGTCTCTATGCGATTCCCGTGCGGATCCCTATGCGGACTTCTGTGCGGATGCCTCTGCGGACCCATATTCGGGTTCCTATGCGGATTCCTATGCGCACGGCGGCAGTGCCGGGGGCGCACTGGGGACCGGAGCGTTGCGTTATGGGGGGGCGCGGGGGAGCCATAACGCGCGTTTTGGCCCAAACAATGAAGAAGCACGCTTCCTGGCGGCGGCCAGGGAGTCTGAGCTGGTTGGGCCCCGAGACAATCGGTCAAGAGGGGGGGAGGAAGGCAAATCCGCTCAAAATCGGGCCCCAGACCCTCCCAGGGTCCATCAGGTGATCTCTGGTCATCCCAGATCCATGTTTGTGAAGGGGCCCTGGGACACATTAATAAATACACACAAATAAAAAGGATTCCCCATATTTTCCTATATTTTCTGGGTTTCTGTCTTCCCCCCCACTTCCCATATTTTCCCATTTTTCCTGGGAACCGACGATTAATTGTGTCTGTGTGTTTTTTCCTCTCCTGAGTTTGACGGTCACGGGGCCCGAGCACAGCCCCTGGAGACCAACAACGGCAAGAGCAGAGAAACTTTGTTTGATCCGCGGGTCGAGAGCGCACCTCTTCCGGTCGAAGCTGAGCGGGCCGCGCACGGCTGCAATTACAGAGGGGGGAAGGCAGAAGGCAGAAGCAAAAACAAACAACAACAAAAAACTTATCGAACCCAGCATCGCGAACCTGACCCACACCCTTCCTGCTGGCCGCAACCAGTGCTAGGCCACCTCAGACTCGGCGGCGAGCGAAGGGGGGGAAGTGAAAAGGAGGAGGCCTTCTCGGAAGGCGGCGAAACTTCTCAGAAGCCCTCGCGCCTTCCGAGGAGATCTCGGCGTCTTCGGGGAGGGCTTAGAAAACTGCTCAGCAGGCCAGGGGTCTCCTGAGCCTCCAGAGAAAGGCAAGCCCACTCTCACTTCCCCCCCCCGGGCTGGGCCACCTCAGACCCCCAGCCAGCTCCAAGTCCATGGCACTTCCCTCCAGGGCTGGACCTAAACGCTGTTGTTCGTTTTGTTTTCGTCTTGTGTTGTGTTTGGCTCTACCTGTTTTCCTGTACCTCCCTGCCACAACGAAAAACAAAACACTGCCAAAGCCCAGCAACACAGCGTTTAGGTCCAGCCTCCTTCTTCCTCGAGCTCCTCGACCCGGACCGCAGAAGCCCGTGGCCCATGGTGGCGCCCGGGGGCGGCTGCGCCGGCCCCACGAGCTGGCTGCCCCCGAGCTGCGGGGCGTGATACCTTCGGGGGCGTCCGAAAGGGGAGGCTCGCAAGTCATGGTTCGAGACATGTGCACGGAAGAAGGGGGAGGCCAAGGGGGGCACTGAGAGAGGACCCTGAGCTCCTGGCGTCTCATTTTTTTCGAGCCAGTCGTTTTCAGAATTTTCGGGCCCCGGGACCCTCACAGATCGCTCCGGCTCGAAAAATTGCGCAGAAAGATAGGGTCTAGGGCTCCGGGCATGATTTTCTACAGTGTTGCCATTTTTTCGCTACGTCGGATCTCAGGGGAAGTAGGGTATCATGGCCCTGGCCATGATATCCAACCCCCCAATCGTCACCCCCTTCTTGCCGGAGGCGCGTTCCACGACTCGCGAAGGAACTGCTCGCAAATGGCCTGGGGACCCGCCGCGGGGGATCTGCGATACATGATACCGAGGCGAACATGTGATTCTCGGACGCCTGCAAGCGGGCACTTTGCGCGATTAGTGGAACGCCTTGGGTGACCCAAGAAGGGTCCAGCTGAAAGGGGGTGATGCAGTAGATTTGGGGCAATTGTGTTGCAAATGTAGTGCGCCAGAGAATTGTATTGCATTGTATTGCGAATAACGTATTGAACGCGAAAATCCAGCAATACACTTGCGCCCTGGAATGTATTGCACGCCCCAAATGTACTGCAGCCCCACAAATCTGTTGCACCAAATCCATTGCACCACCCCCTTGTCGCTGGACCCCCTTCTGGGTCAACCCGAAACGCGCTCGGTGACACTCTTAGCCACCCCCGACCACCTGGGCGGCGGCTTGCTCCCCAGGCTGGCCCTGCTCTGCCGGGCGCGGAGCTCCCAGGAGGGCGCCGCCGGTGCCCTCTGCACCGCGGCGGCGGCCGAGGCGCTCCTCGGCGCCCGGATCGGGGCGCTGTCCTTAGGGGGCCACATGCGAACCCTACCCCTACCCCCCACGATTTCTGAGGGGGAGGGTGGGGTTCACTTCGTTCGGGAGGTCACGAGGGAAGTGAACCCCACCCTCCTCAAAAATCGTGGGGAGTAGGGGTAGGGTTCGCTTGTGGCCCCCTAGTCCTCCCAGCCCCTGGGCCAGAAGCCAGGGGCGCTGCCATGCTTGCTGCCGCTGGCGGGCCTGCTCAGGAGCGCCCCGGCAGCCGTGGGGCTCTCCTCGCTACGGAGGGCAGCTCGGAGGAGCCGAGCAGAGCACTTGGGGCTTGGGACGATTGTCGGAGTCTCGGGGCCCTCAGCGGGCTCGGGGCCCTCAGCGGGCTTCGGGACCATCAAAAAGAAAGCCTGGGGCTGAGAAACCAGATCTCGGAGAGCCCACGCTGCGATCCGAGATCGAGACCTCGGAGAGAAGGTCCAGATCTCGGAGATCTCCGAGGCCGAGATGTCGGGACCTCGGGGGAAAGGCCGAGATCTCCGAGGTCGAGATCCCCCGGTCCGAGTCCGGATCTCGGGGATCCCGCGTTGCTGACAGATCGGGACGTCGGAGGCCAAAGGAGGATGGAGGGTTCGAAAGAAAAAAGGATCGGGGCTGGATGACCGAAGGTCGAGGATGTAGGGCATTGGTGGCCTTCTGAGGGGCCCCAGAGAGACCTCCAGGGAGGGAGGGGGGGACGCGGAGACGAGGAGGAGGAGGAGGAGGGAAAGGAAAAGGACGAGGAGGGGGAAGAGGAGGGGGAGGAGGAGGCGGAGGAGGAGGGCGAAGGCGAGGAGCGGAATACCTCCTCCTCCTCGTCCTCCTCCTCCTTCTCTTTTTCCTCCTCCTCCTCCTCTCCTCCTCCTCCTCCTCCTCCTAATTCTCCTCCTCCTCCTCCACCACCACCACCACCATCATCATCATCATCATCATCATCATCATCATCATCATCATCATCATCATCATCATCCTACTTCCTACTTCCTACTTCCTACTTTCTCTTCCCACTATCATCTTCTGAGCTTGTATGCCCATATCCACCCTGCTGATCACATCTTCCCACCTCCCTCCTACACTCTCTTCCATCCTTCTCCTCCTCCTCCTCCTCACCACCACCACCACCATCCTCCTCCTCCTGCTCCTCATCCTCCTCCGCCTCCTCCTCCTCCGCCTCCTCTCCCTCCCCCATCCATCATGATCCTCATGATCATCATCCTTCCCCCGACCCCCATTGTACCACTTCCACCACCACCACCACCACCACCGTCATCAAAGTTCACGTCACAACACCACCATCAACAAACCATCATCAGAATCACCCCCACGGCCATACCATCATCTTTATCATCAGCATCATGATCATCATCATCATCATCATCATCATCATCATCATCATCATCATCATCATCATCATCATCATCATCATTATCATCATCCTCATCATCATCATCATCATCATCATCAGCATCATCATCATCATCATCATCATCATCATCATCATCATCATCATCATCATCATCATCGTCATCAGCATCAGCATCATCATAATCATCAGCAGCAGCGGCATCATCATCATCATCATCATCATCATCATCAGCAGCAGCAGCAACAACAGCAGCCTCATCATCCGCGTCATCAGCAACAGCGCCATAAACCGTGTCATGCGCTCAGCTTGAACCATCAGAGCAACAAGAATAATTATAGCATCGGCACCCGCATCTGCATCACCGTCACAGTCTGAATATCATCGTTGCCGTCGACATCATCATAGGCCTCATCCTCATCATCATCATCATCATCATCATCACCATCATCATCAACAACATCAGCAGCATCATCATCTCATCATCAGCAGCAGCAGCATCATCCTCATCATCATCATCAGCATCATCATCATGATAATCATCGTCATCATCACCGGCAGCATCATCATCAACATCATCATAATCTTCGTCGTCGTCATCATCATAATCCTCGTCGTCGTCGTCCTCCTCGTAGTCGTCGTCGTCGTCAGTATCATCACAACCATCATCACCATCACCAACGCCACCATCATCATAAGCAGCAGCATCATCATCACCATCACCGTCGTCATCAGAATCCGCATCATCATCACTATTATCATCATCAGCAGGTGAATCAATGTCATCATCAACCACTCATCAGCATCATCAACATCATCATCGTCATCATCATCAGCATCATCATAATCATCATCATGATCATCATCATATTAATCAGCATCACCATCGTCGTCATCTCATTAGCATCTCATCACCTCATCATAACCGTCTCATCATCAACAGCATGACGATCATCATAGTCACAACCACCATCATCACTACCACCAACATCGCCACCACAATCGTCGTCATCATCATCAGCAGCATCACGATCGTCGTGATCGTCAGCATCATCAACGCCATCAGCACCCTCATCATCATCATGATCATCATCATCATCATCATCATCATCATCATCATCATCATCATCATCATCATCATCATCATCGTGGTCGTCGTCGTGGTCGTCGCCACCATAAGCATCATCATGATTATCAGAATCGAAATCACATTAGTCCTCATCATCATCGTCATCCTCATCATCAGCACCACCGCCAGTATCATAATCATCAGCATCATCATCATTATTATCATCATCATCATCACCATCATCATCAGCAGCAGCATCATCATTATCATCATCATCATGATCAACATCCGCATCAGCATCATCATCATTACCATCCCCAATATCAGCATCATGAGAAGCAGCATCATCATCACTAGTAGGATCACTATTGTTAACATCGCCATCCTCATCAGCGTCATCATCATTATCGTAAGTATCAGCAGCATCATCATGATCGTCATCGTCACTGTGTTCATCGACGTCGTCATCATATTACCTCGTCGCCATCATCAGCAGCAGCAGCGTCGTCACCATCATCATCATCCTCATCATCATCACCAGCACCATCACCATCATCATCATCATCATCATCATCATCAGCATCATCATCGTCCTCATCATCATTATCAACATCTTCATCATCAGCAGCAGCAGAAGCAACAACAACATCATCGCCTTCATCGTCATCGTCATTGTTATCTGCTACTCCTCCCTGCCAGCACCCCCGTCTCCGGGTCAGATCGGCGCGCTCCCGACGGCAGCATGGGGCGAGCCCCGCTGGCGCTCGGAGACAGCGGCTCCCTCTGCACGGCGCCAGGCGGCATCAGGGCTCCTCCAGGGGAAGAGAGCCAGAGTGAAGGGCGAAGTCGGAGGGAGAGGGGAAAGGAGGGAGTAAGGAAGGAGGAGGGAGGGACGAAGGACGCAGGGCGAGGGAGAAAGAGAGAGAGAGAGAGACAGATGGAGGAGGCAGGAAGTGAGGAGAGAGAGGCGAGGGAGGAGAGAGGACCCCTCGGCGCGTCGGCCCGACGTCGCTCAAATAATCCGTCTCCTGGGGCGGGTGCTAGGCTAGGTCCAGATCATGTTGCGGCCTCAGGTGAACTGTTTTGCATGCCATATGTCGGCCTTGCCAGACTCCACCTCCTCCCTCACAGTGTAGAAACTATATGTATAGATATGTAATTTAACGCGCGGACCAAAAACAATGCGTTGGTAGCAACATGTGTGATGATATCAATGTGGAGCAATCTATGTGGTGCAATCGATGTGGAGCAGAATATGTGGCTCGATCTACGGCGATCTACGGCGTGCAATCTACGGCGTGCAATCTACGAGTGCATCTACGGCGTGCCATCTACGGCGTGCAATCTACGAGTGCATCTGCATGTATGGTGTGCGATCTACGGCGTGCAATCTACGAGTTGCAATCCACGTTGCGCAGTCCAGATGGTGCAAACCGGGTCATGCCATCCATGTGGAGCAGTATATATGGTGCAATCGCTGTGGTGCGAAGTAGGCGGTGCTATACAGGTTGTGCAATATATGATGTGCACACTAGGTGGTGCAGTCTACGTTGTGCAATTCACGCTGCCGAACCTGAATGATGTCAACTCCACTGCTCGCGCAATCATCCCACCCACCCGCAACTTGGTTTGCACAACCCATGCGGCGGCGATTGCGATGACTGCTTGACGATGGTTGATGTGTCGGTGCGGCCGCGCTAGCGCGCGCATGCTCGCGCGCAGAGCGGCCAGCTAGTCTAGCGCGACCGACGCGGCCGCGGTGGCGCTGACCGCTGGGGACTTCCCAGCGCGTCTCGCAGGCCGCACTGAAGCGCGGGCAATGCAGTGCGAGTCGGTGACTTGGGCGGGCGCGGTATCATGGCGACGTCGACAACGGCAGACACGCTGATGATTGCAGCGATGCTGGTGACGACGATGACGATGACAACGGTAAGGCCAATGACGGCGCCGACGCTGATCAAGCCGACGACGATGACAGTGTCCACGAGTCGGTGATGAAGGTCAAGGAAGAATTTCGACCTGCGCACGCGACCGACGGGCGAAAGTGGCCCGCATAGTAATGTTTGACAAGGGTCGTCCCCCCCCGCCCGAGCGGAAGGGCGTTCGAATGATTTCGACATGCGCGCGCGAGAGGCCCGTTTGTTCGCAAATGATGAATATGTTGAAACAACGAGGCTCTTCTGAAGAATTCGCAAGTGCGCACGCGCAAACATACTTGGAAAAGTCCTGTAGCACAAAAATGTATGTTATATGGTTCGGTGCAGTCGATTGTCATCCTTGGAAAAATGTACGGGTTGTTGAAGGAATCGGGCATGCACGTGCGACGACGCGCGCGTGTGCACTTCGTCTCATTCGTTGCAAGGGGTTCCTGAAAATTGAGGATACTTGATAATCAAGTGTGCGCGCACACTCTCTGTTACAAAAAACGAGGTGTGGTGTCGATACCGGCTTGAATGGGATGGTGTGACTTCATACAGAGAATGAACGATGGGTCAGCATCATGTGTAAACTGCAAATCCCAGGAGGGTGGATAATACCGGCTTCGGGGGGCTGGCAAATCCTTATCTACTTTTTAGCCAGGATGGTACATTTCATGCAAACTACGTTGTGTTGTACAGTCGATGTGGTGCACTATATGTTGCGCAAACTATTTAGAGCAATGTATGTGGTACATCTACGAGGTGCAACATATGTTATGCTTTCTATGTGATGCAGTCTATGTTGTGCCACCGATATGATGCAGTCTAGATGGTGCGCAGGATGTGTTGTGCAATCGATGGTGTGTAATCTATGTGGTGCGCAATATATGTTGTGCAATATACCAAGTGTGCAGTATGTGTGGGCGGCGACGAAGCGGCGACGACGGTGAGATAGCCGCAAGACCGTCGCACACCGGCCCAGACGACAGGCGGCGTCGAGGCGACGACGGGGCAGCGACGGCGGCAGCATAGCCGCCAGACCGCCACAACGGCTCAGACGACGGGCGGTGTCGAGGCGGCGACGGGGCGGCGACGGCGGCAGGTATAGCCACCAGGCCACCACACCAGCCCAGTTCCTTAGAAAACAAGTAAGGACCCCTAAGTGCAAGCACTGTTTGGGGTGAGGGCAACAAGAAAACTTTCGAAAGTCCGAACACTCATGCTCATGATGCTTCCTGGTTCTCTACGTTCTCCCTCTCCTCCTCCCCCTCCTCCTCCCACTCCTCCTTCTCCTTCTCCTCCTCGTCATCGAGGCGGGGCCGTGGAGAGCAGAGCCGAGCCGAGAGTGAATTGAAGGGGTCTGGAGAAGAAACTGGGGGGAGCTGACCCAGAACAGGGTCGCTGGGGGCGATGATGATGATGATGATGATGATGATGATGATGATGATGATGATGATGATGATAGGAAGAAAAAAAAGTCATGATACGATTGGCTCAGGGAACGTTTCTGGAATTCCTGCATCTCTGACAGCCCCCGGTCACTCGTGCTCGGCAACTCGTCTCTGGCCGGTGGGGGCAGCAGGGAAACCCAGAAATCTTGGAACGCGGCATCAAGCAGGACTCCACGGCGCCGGAGCTGGCCACCCAGGGGAGAATGTTGCTCACGCCATGCAGGGGGGAACGACAGGGGGGACCAGCAGAGGGGGGGGCGGGGGCACATCGAGCTTGCACCGCACGCTCCTGGGCGGGGAGGGCCAAGTATCAGGACCCTGTCGGCGATCCAAGGGCGATCGGGAGACGATGCGTCGAGCCTATCCCCCCCTGACGTTTGCCCTCGGGCTTTCGGGCCACAACTCAGCTCTGCAGCGGCCGCTCGGGACGAGCTGGGCACCCCCAGCACGCCCGCGCCCAGGCGCAGCTGCCGCCACACACACCCCGAGGCTGGAAAACCACCGACTACGAACGAGAACGTCCGAAAACCTCGAGCCTCGAACCCCCCGAGAAAGTCCCCCCCCCCCGAGGAGGAGGGAGGAGGAGGAGCAGGAGGAGGAGGAGGAGGAGGAACAGGTGGAGGAGGAGGAACAGGTGGAGGAGGAGGAGGAGGAGGAGGAGGAGGAGGAATACTGAAAAATAGTCTTAACACAATCATCAAAAAATAATCCAAAAACAGTCTGGGAACGATGTTTGTAGTGTTTTGGGGCACTGTTTGAATATAATCTGACTTATGTTGTACTTTTGTCATCCAAAATCACCCTGTGGGGGGACACGCCCGACTCAAAACTGTCCGCCCCCTCTTCCTGCCCTTTCAGGTCGGACAGGACGGAGGGGGGCAAGGCAGAGACTGGCCGACCGAGGATCGATCGAGGATCGAGGATCGGGGCCCCGACCGCGCGAGGGTCGATCGAGAATCGAGGCCCTGACTCAGATCGAGGATCCACCGAGGGTCCACGATCGATCGGTCGAGAGGGTCCCAAAAAGGGTGCGGCGACAGGCCGTGCGGTGACCTCGACATCCCAAGATGGAAGGGGCCCTCGGACACGCAAGGAAATCGACACAAAGAGCGGGACTCCCCATGTCTCCCTGTATGTTCTGGGTTGCTGTCTTGCCCTCCACTTCCCATGCTTTCCAAAACCTCCTGGGGAATGGACGATGGATTGTCTCTGTGTGTGCGCTTTTTCCCCCTCCCGAGAGACACCTCGCCGCACAGCCCGTCGCCGCACGGCTCTGGCTGGGGCCTCGGAGGCCGCGGCCGCCCCAGGGCGTTCTCCGCGAGCGACCCCGAGGCCCAAAGCCGTGCGGCCCCCCCGGAGCGCCGCTGCCCGACCACGCGGCGCCGTCCAGGGCGGAACTTCCTCCTCCTCCTCCTCCTCCTCCTCCTCCTCCTCCTCCTCCTCCTCCTCCTCCTCCTCCTCCTCCTCCTCCTCCTCCTCCTCCTCCTCCTCCTCCTCCTCCTCCTCTCCTCCTCCTCCTCCTCTCCTCTCCTCCTCCTCCTCCTCCTCCTCCTCTCCTCCTCCTCCTCCTCCTCCTCCTCCTCCTCCTCCTCCTCGTCGCGTTTCTCGTGTTCGTTTGGTTTTCCTTTTGCCTCGTTTTGTCTTCAGTCCGCCTTTACCGCAGAGCGAAGCCGAACCGAAAACGGCCCACGAAAACGCCAAAACACCGTTCAGGTCCAGCCCTGGTGCCGTCGCTGCACCGGCTGGGGGCCCCCGGGAAAGCGGGTGGGGGGCGGCAGCTCAGGGGATGATGGTAGAAGAGGGCTCCAACATGCCCCCGAGATATTCCAGAAGGCCCCAGAGAGGCATCCCAAGAGACCTCAGATTCATTACTTCCACAATCGTCGCAAACACTCACTCCTTATGAGGGCCGGCGGAATGGCATATGCCACTTGATACAAAAAGAGAGGGGTGCCACTCAGCTCAGCTATAGCTGGGTTTCCCACCGCCTCCCGGCACCGGAGGCGCTCACGTGCTGAGGGAAGCGCTCGGCGGGGGAGCCGAAACCGGCTGCACGCCGCAGTTTTCGCGAGCCCCGTTCCCAATTCCTCCTCTCTTCTCCTCATGTCTTCTGTTGGGGGTGAACTAATGGGAGGGCGATACATGGCGGGGGGGAAATGCCCTTTTCGGACCCTAAAGGCCACCTTCTGGGCCGCGAAAGGGCCCCTTCAGGCTCCAGGGGCCCTAAAGGGCTCTTTCCGGCAGCCGTCGCTCGCCCCCCTTGCTCCCCCTGGAAAACCATCGGCTTCCCCCCACTTCTGTGTGCTGGTTGCTGAATGTCTCGCCGACCCCTCGTTGGGACCCCCCGAGGGGGAGGGGGGCGGGGGCTGGCCCTGTGGCGGGCTTGCCTGGCCCAGGTGTCGCGGGATCCAGACCCCCGACGCCATCCTTCGCTCGCGGCGTGGACCCCCCGGGAGGTCTGGACCCCTTCCCGGGGCCTGTGCTCCATCCCGAGTCGCTGCTTGACGGCCCAGGGGCGCGGGAAGGCCCCCAGGGAGGCCGAGAACAGCCAAAAACATGCCTCCCGCCATGGCGTTTCCGCGGCGGGGGCCTCTCGGGGTCGGGCCCCCCCCCGTGGACCGCCAGGAAAGGCTCGGAGCATCGGCAGCAGCCCTCGTGGATACCGCTGTTCCCCAGACCTCGCGGGGAGGACGTCCAAAAACCTCCCGTCGCGACGTCTGTCACGACGCGGGGGGGTCGAGGGAGGCGTGGGGTCCTCCGGCGGGGCCGCCGTGCGGCGTCGTGCCGGTGCTGATGGGGGCGGGTGCCGTGGCGGGTCTGCTGGCGCCGAAGCTAGGCGCCTGCGAGTACTGCCGCGGCTGCAGCCTGGCGAGCTCGGCCGAGTTGGAGCGCTCGGGGGAGGACCCACGAAGGCATCAGAACCCCTCGAACCTCGAGGAGTCCACCTCCCCCTCCCCATCCACCTCCCTCCTCCTCGTCCTCCTCGTCCTCCTCCTCCTCCTCCTCCTCCTCCTCCTCCTCCTCCTCCTCCTCCTCCTCCTCCTCCTCCTTCCTCCTCCTCCTCCAATCCTCCTCCTCCTCCTCCTCCTCCTCCTCCTCCTCCTCCTCCTCCTCCTCCTCCTCCTCCTCCTCCCCTTCGACTGTCGTGCCCAAACGGGTTCGGCTCTCGCCCCGCAAGTTCTGAGCGTGACTCGCGCCTTTCGAGGACGACCGAACCGAACCGGACCTCCTCCTCCTCCTCCTCCTCCTCCTCCTCCTCCTCCTCCTCCCTCCTACCTCCTCCTCCTCCTCTCCCCTCCTCTCCTCCTCTCCTCCACCTCCTCCTCCTCCCTCCCCCTCCTCCCCCTCCGCCCCCTCCCCCTCCCCCCCCCCTCCCCCTCCCCCTCCCCCTCCCCCCTCCTCCTCCTCCTCCTCCTCCTCCTCCCCTCCCCTCATCCTCCTCTCCTCCTCCTCCTCCCCCTCCTCCTCCTCCTCCTCCGCCCCTCCTCCTCCTCCTCCTCCTCCTCCTCCTTCTCTTTTCTCTCCTCACTCCTCCTCCTCCTCCTCTCTCTCCTCCTCCTCCTCCTCCTCCTCCTCCTCCGCCTCCTCCTCCTCCCCTCCTCCTCCTCCTCCGCCTCCTCCTCCTCCTCCTCCTCCTCCTCCTCCTCCTCCTCCTCCTCCTCCCTCTCCCCTCCTCCTCCTCCTCCTCCTCCTCTCCTCCTCCTCCTCCTCCTCCGCCTCCTCCTCCTCCTCCTCCTCCTCCTCCTCCTCCTCCTCCCTCCTCCTCCTCCCTCCTCCTCCTCCTCCTCCTCCTCCTCCTCCCCACCTCCTCCTCCTCCTCCTCCTCCTACTCCCCTCCTCTCCTCCTCCTCCTCCTCCTCCTCCTCCTCCTCCGCGTCCTTCCCCTCTACTTCTGAATGGGAACGGTAAGGGGGTAACCAGTTAGGGGGGGAAACGTCGACGTGGAATCGGCGATACATCGCCTATTGATCGGCGACGAACCCCCGCCAGCGAGTGGGGGTCGATGCATGCCCCCTCAGCCGATCCTCCCCTAACGTTCCCCCTGAGATGATCCTCGGAACGCGTGTTGGCGCTAGCGTGCCCTCGTCTACCGACGCTTTTCGAAGTCGACGCACCCTGAGTGAAACAGGCCGAACCATGGAAGAAAGAGAACTGTGCACGTGCACCGATCCTGGCCACGCCCATCCTGTACCCAGGATCGTGCATGCGCTCGCCTGGCTAGGCCAAAGGGGCATATGCACAGACCCAGGCCCAGGACGGGCCTGGCCAGTATCGGTGCACGTGCACAGCTCTCTTCGTCCGAGAAGCAGGCCGCCTGCTGTCGGTGGAGCTGAGCGGAGCAAAAAACACGTTGGGCCAGCACGCATCCTGGAGAGCACCGCTCAGCGCGAGGGGCCGCGGGCCTGGGAGGAGAGGGATTCCTGGGACCCTCGGCATCGCGCTCTGGTCAGACCGGGCGATCCTGCCCCATAGTTTCGAGACCTGGGACCCTCATCCTCCCCAGACATGCTCGCGTAGTGAAAAAATACGACGGCAGGTGTTTCGCATTTTTCAGACTCCAGGAGCCCTCGCCAGGCCCACACACACACACACACACACTTTTTCCTCGTCGGCGGCTAGGCAAAGGGACTTTCATGGAACACACAAAACGCGAATTGAGCCGCGGTGCAGGAAGAGGAGCCCGGCGCAGGCGGGAGGGAGACGGAAGCTGGGCCTGCTCAGAGCAGGGACAGGCAGCGGCGGGGCGGGCGCCGGGGTCTGGGGGCCAGCAGCGGCGGCAGGGCAGCAGTGGGGGGCAGGGAGTCAGAAGGCTCCCGGGCACGCGCCCAGGGGAGGCGAGGCACAGAAGGTCCAGCACAATCTGGAGGTGGAAGCAGCACAGCGAGGCGACCGTACGTCCAGCAGGACAAGCTGGTCCACACACACACACACACAAACACACACACACACACACACACACACGCAAACCGGTCCAGGGGAATGGGTCGACACCTCTGGAGGTCAACTTTATGAGAAAATCATGACGTCACAGCTTCCCCCCTCCCGAACCACCCAAGTCGAGTTTGTTCACAACGTGGACACCTGGAGGACTGGACCCCTTCCCCGCGACCGGTGTCTCGTCCCGAGCCGTTGTTCACGAGCACAGGACCCAGCGACGGCCCCCCGAGGCCGAATATTGCCAAAACTACCTCTGTTGAAAGATGCGAGGGGGCAGCAAAGGTTCCTCCTCCTCCTTTTCCTCCACCCCTCCTCCCCCTCGTCTTCCTTACCTCCTCCTCCTCCTCCTCCTCCTCCTCCTCCTCCTCCTCCTCCTCCTCCTCCTCCTCCTCCTCCTCCTCCTTCTCCTTCTCCTCCTCTTCCTCCTCCTCGTCCTCCTCCTTCTCATCCTACTGGTCGTCGATGTGCTTCAGGGTCGGCGGCGGCGGCCGCCAAGCCCTCTCGATCCTGCCAAAACTACGTCTGTCGAAGGACGCGAGGGGGGGCCTGGGTCCAGAACTGAAGCTCGGACCACGGACCTGCCCCGGGGCGCGTTCTGGCCAGAGTTTGGAAGCAAATCCAGCCACGGCAGCGAGGAGGCCCAGGGGAGGCCACGAACAGCCTCCGGCTTCGGCCCTCGAGCCTCGGTCACTGCAGCTCGATATCATACTCCCGCGCCATCTCCTGTGCGCCTGCCCCCTCCCACGTCTCCCGCGCCCTCTCCGCTCCTGGGCGGCGGAGGCGGCGGAAGACGCAGGAGGAAGGAGTAGGGAAAGGGGGGACGGGGAGAGGAGGAGGAATCGGAATTGGAAATGGCACCCTCGCGATGCGAAATTACAACACCCCATGGCCGCCCCCTGAGCGCGAGCAAGAAGTAGCCGTACCAGAGGACGAAGAACAGGAAATACAAGAGCCAGAGGAGGACGACCACTGCCGCGCATAGAAGGAGGGAGGAAAAGGGGATGCGGAGAGGGAGCAGGAGGAGGTTGATTGTCCAGAAATGAGGTGGGGAAGGTCAGGAAAAGGGCGCGAGATAGGAAAATGGCGCGAGATTGGAAAATGACTGAGCGGGAGAAGGTGGTGGGGAGAACGAAAAGGAGGAGGAGAAGGAGGACGAGAAGGAGGAGGGGAAGAGAAAAGGAGGAGGAGGAGGAGGAGGATGGGGAGGAGGAGGAAGAGGATGTGGAGGACGATAGAGAGGAGGAGGAGGAGAAGGAGAGCAGGAGGGAGGAGACAGAGGAGGAACAGAAGCAGCAGCAGCAGCTGCGGAGTAGGCAGAGGAGGAGGCAGGCAGGGGAGGAGGAGGAGGCAGGAGGAGGAGCATCTTCCTCCTCCTCCACCTGCTGCTCCTCCTCCTCCTCCTCCTCCTCCTCCTCCTCCTCCTCCTCCTCCTCCTGCGCCAGCCCTCCTCTCTCTCTCTCTCACTCTCTCAATCTATATATATATATATGTATATATAACATACATGTATAGCATACATGTACGCATATACACATATATATATATAAATAAATATATAAATATATATGTGTACATGCATATAAATATATCTATATATATATATGTGAATGTATGTATACAGATATCCCTCTCTCGCCTACACGTAAGAGCCACCCTGGGCAGGCGGTGACCTCTGGTGCGCAGCCTCAGGGGGCCGCGCAGGGGGGCCAGACCGAAGTGCGCAGGCCACTGATGTCGCACCGAACTCGGCGATCGGGAAGCCCAGTGGGCCCGCACCAAAAGTACCTCCGGCGAGTGGAGGAGCGGGAGGAGGAGAAGGAGGATAAGGAGGAAGGATGGCAGCATCCCATGGGATTCAGATGCCAGTAGCGTCAGGAGAAGGGGGGGATGACAGCATCCCGTGGATTCGGATGCCAGCAGCGTCAGCATCAGGAGGAGGAGGAGGAGGAGGAGGAGGAGCAGCAGCAGCAGCAGCAGCGGGAAAAGGAGAAGGAGGAAGGAGGAGGAGGAGGAGGAGGAGGCAGGA